AGCTGGCTCACTGAGGCCCCTTGCCACAAGGTGCCCTGTGCAGCCTCGGAACTCTGCCAAGAGTTCCCACAGCAAGAAGGCTCTCCCAGGTCCTCATCCTGCAACTCCCCAACTTCCAGAACTGTAAGAAATACGTTGTGTTTTTTACCTATTACCCAGTTTCAGGAGTCTTGTTATAATCAATAGAGAACAGAGGAAAACCCATCTTAGTTTACAATCCTCATCTGGACACCATGCAGCCTTCTTCTATTCTGGTTCTGCTATGAACGTATATATTAGTTTCACATCTTCAAGGTTTGTTCCCAGTTTTTATGAACCCTCTCCCAAAATTATTTTTGAGGAATTAAAGCACTAAATTGTACCCACAGCAATGGTTCACAGTACAGTGACAAGTCCCAACTGTAAATCCACCCTCTTCTATTCTGCTCAGAAGATGCATTGATGTGGGTGTGGGCCCTGTTTTTCCTGGCTGGTATCTTTGCCCGCGGGAAGCTACTCTCATTCCATAAAAGTGGTTCTTCGTGGTGGCAGGTTTGCTCACCAGGGGATATTTGGCAACATTTAAAGACTTTTTTGGTTGTCAAACCTAGCAGGAAAAAGGAGAGATAATACTGGCACCTCGTGGACGGAGACCAGGTAGAGGCGGGACTGCTAAACAACGCACGGCACAGCCCCACAGCAGAAAATTGTGCAGCCCACAATGTCAGGCTGCCGAGGATGAAAAACCCCATTCCAGGGGAATCCTGTTCATGGCACATGACACCGTGGACTTGCCTCTTTCCTGACCCCACACCCAGAATGGGCACAGGACCCAGCCCTGGCCAACTGGGATCCTCTTTGTTTTGAACTCAAATGTGAAGGCCAACATAAAATTTGATCCTGCCAGGCTGAAAACAAAGATATAAGAAGCAAGAACAAAGAGAAAGGCCAGGTGCAGTGGCTCACGCCTGTAATTGCACTCTGGTAGGCCAAGGTACGTGGATTGCTTGAGCTCAGAGGTTCAAGACCAGCCTGAGCAAGATCGAGACACCTCCCCCCATCTCTATTAAAAATAGAAAAAATTAGCTGGGTGCTGTGGTGGGTGCCTATGGTCCCAGCTGCTCAGGAGGATGAGGCAAGAGGATTGCTGGAGCCCAGGAGTTTGAGGTTACTGTGAGTTATGATGCCATGGCATTCTATCCAGAGCAACAGATAGAATTGAATTACAACCTTGGAATGGTCTCTCTGTCTTCACTCTCTTTAACTAGATACAAGGTCAGCACGTTCTGGAAGGTTTTTGCTTCTGGCCTTCTGTCTCCATTCCCTCCTTCTCAGTCAGGTCTTTGAACAGCATGATCTGCTTCCCTATTGAATCCTAGTAGATTCTCTGAGAATCCAGTTTCATCTCCTTCCTGGGCATCCATCTCTACATGCCTATCCTTCTGATCACCAGGCTTACACTTCATCATACTGAGCGGTTAACACCTGCTATGGGGGATGGATTGTGTCCCCCAAAGTTCATGTGTTGCAAACTTCATCCCCAGTGCAATAGTATTAAACTCTCTCCAGAGAGAGCTCTGAAGACTTTGAATCAGACTCTACCTCTTAGGCTTTGGAGCTAAGTGAGCCTATAAATTCTGTTTCCATAGGAGATTAAGTTGACTTCCATGATTTCCAAGCAAGAGTCTAGGCTGATAAAGAAGTTGGTGAATGTTATTATTGTATATAAAAAAACACCTTGCAGATAGCTAACTAATACTTTTAAAAGCATATCATTCATCAATGACAGTACTGTAGCTACTATTAGTAACAGATAACAGTCAGCCCATTGATCAATTGTAAACTGTCTTTCATGTATTTTTAAAATAAGAGATTACCAAAATCACCAATTTATTGTTTTTGTTCAGTTAAACAGAGAAGGGACAAGTTTCAAAAACTCAGTAATTGAAATAATTTGAGGAGTTTCAGGTGCTAATTCAATCCCAATATCAGATCCCAAATGCCAAGGCAATCAATTGATAGGGAATACTACATCCCATAGGAGATTTGTCTGAGTCTTTGACCTATCCTGAACTTTTGAATTTCGGGAATCTATAAGGGACCTTTCCAGACAACATTTTGAGGGATCTCCACTGAAATGGTCAAGAGGCCTCCCAAACTCAAGGTGTCTAGGGAGGGACATCTAGGAGGAGCAGGACAAATTCTCTGAGATGTGGAGATGGAAATGAGAGGTCAGGGAGACCGAGGCAGAGAGTTCAGGTGGACAAGGGCAGAGAGAGAGATTTCCAGAGCCCTGGGAAGGGTGCATTGGAGGTCTTCAGCTGAATATTGGCCAGCACACACCAGCAGAATCCTCTCAAGGCTGTGCAAAGAACTAGACCTGGTTTGGGTTTTTTTTTTCCCAGTTATTTGTTTTCCAGTTGTTTAACTGACTACCCCCAAAACATGTGGCTTTAAAAATCAATAGATTTCTCATGATTCTGTGGGTTGCCTGGGCATTTCCACTTCACAGGTATCGACTCAGTCATAGTTTGCTGGAATAACATGCCGGATTATAGCAAACAGTACTGGTGCCCACACAGCAGCCTAGATAACAGAATACCACAGATGAGAGGATTTATAAGGAAAAGCAGTTTATTTGGCTCACAGTTCTGGAGGATGGAAGTCCAAGATCGAGGGGCCAAATCCAGCCAGGGTCTTCTTGCTGTGTCATCCTTGGTAGAAGGCAAACAGGCAACAAAACGTGAGCAAGCAAGAGGGGGCCGAACTCACTTTTATAACTAATCCACTCCCAAGATACTGGCACATTCCAGTTGTGAGGGTACATCCCTCATGACCTAATCACCTATCTTTAGGCCCCACCTCCCAACACTGCTGCACTGGGGATGAAGTCTCCAACACATGAGCTTTGTGGGACACATTCCATCCCCCATAGCAGGCGTTAACCACTCTGTGATGAAGTGTGAGCCTAGTGGTCAGAGGGGATAGGTGTGCAGAGACGATTGCCCAGGCAGGGAGCCCAGGGCACCCTCTGAAAGGAGATGAAACTGGATTCCCAGAGAGTCTACTAGGATTCAACAGGGAAGCAGGTCATACTATTCAAAGACCTGACTGACAAGGAGGGAATGGGGAGAGAAGGCCAGAAGGGAAAACTTTCCAGAACGTGCTGACCTTGTATTTAAAGAGAGTGAAGGCAATGAGGCCATTCTCAGGCTGTAATTCACGGCTCAAGGTGATCTGTGCTGTGTCCCAGAAAGACCCAGCAGGCCCCAGGAGAGAACAAACCCAGTGCCCCAAACAGAACATACAATACCCGGCATACTTGGCACTTTTTAAGTATATGAATATAAACGTGTGTTCAACATGTATGTCCAAATGTTAACAGTACTGTACACTATAAAGTGGATGGCTTTTATTTCTGTCTTTCAAAATTTAATTATCTACTTTTTGATCCTTAAAATAGTAAACAATTTTTCATGGGATTGGGAAAAAACTTTTTTAAACTATTTTTAGTGTAATTGGAGCAAGAATAGTACTTTGTTAAAGGGTATGATAGGCCTCCTAAAAAGACAGCCCCCTCCCCATGGTATCATAGAGCTGTTTTGTTGCCAAGGGTTTGAAGGGACCCCCTGGTAACACATAGTAACTGTGACTTGTCATACCAGGCTGGGGGGGGGGCTCACTTCCATTCTACTGATTAAGTTTATTATATCATTTGAATCAAGAATTCCAGGATTAGGAATCTGTGGATATTACTCCAATTACTGATTAACTGATGCCCAGAGATGGTCCAGGTTGTGGAGCCAATGGTTACAAGTGTCCATCACTGTAACACGAAGTCCTGTTGACCGCGACGCGGCCTTTCTCTCCTCCTTTCTTTCTTTCCTCTCCTTGTGGTCTTCCCGGTTCATCACAGCATCTTGTCTCCATCTCCGTCCGTCTTGTCTCCATCTCCGTTGGAGGGTGTCTGCGCACGCGTCCGTGGGTGTGCTCCCAAAGCCTTGGGGCGGGGGCTCCCTGGCTGTCCTCACATTTCATTAGGATTTAGGAAGTCAATAAAGTAGCAGTTCCAGAAGCGGGTGAGAAAGGGTTTGATTGCCTGTCCTGTCTCTGCAGCGTGAACTTGGGCAAGTCACTAGCCTCTGAGTCTCACGGTCTCCATCTGTCAGTGAAGGTGCCACGCCCACAGCCTCCTTCCAGATCTATAACCCCTTAAGGTGCCACGCCCACAGCCTCCTTCCAGATCTATAACCCCTTAACGTGGCGCTCAGCTCGCAGAAGTGTCACCTATTACCATTATTTTTTATTCCCAAAGAGGGGAGAAAGAAGACTCTAAGGAAAAAATGTGATAATAAGTTGAAAGTGAAAGAGTTTATTATATCATTTGAATCAAGAATTCCAGGATTAGGAATCTGTGGATATTACTCCAATAAGGCGAATATTCAACAATACCACCAGGAGGCCCACGCTGGTGGTTAAATAAAACTCAGGGAGGTTTCCCCACTCGTTTGGGTTTCTGGAACATTCCACCCACGCTCCCTTGGCCGCTCTCAGAACTCAGCTGTGGTCCGGCAACTACGGGGTTAACGTGGTTTCCTCCTCCCTGCCCCCCACCGAGGACGCAGGGAGGGGGCGGGGGGGGGGGCAGCCTGAGGGCTTCTGATTGGTCAGAACCCGGCCCCACCAAAATACTCGGAAGCTGCCCCCGCCCCCAGCCCCTTCCTAGCACCCAGCGCTGCGTTTATTTATTTGCGTGGTTTTGTTGATTCTTTAATGGCACGAATATAGGCGCAACCTAAATGATTAACAGGAGACTAGTTAAATAAATTATGACGTGTCCCTCCTACTGAATATCATGCAGCCTTATAAAAAAAGAATGAGTCAGCACTAACACAGAGACGTTAAAGGCAGCCGCGACATTTCCGTTCGGCAACAAAGGCGAGTCACGAAAGCGAATTTATTGCATAATCCCATTTGTGCGAAATAAATTGAACAGACATTTATGGTTGAATATACCTATATAAAACACGGCTTGTAGAGAGACTAAACATGAACAAAGACTATACACGTGTGTGTCTTTACACAAAAATATAAATCGTTTGTGTATGGGACATTCCTGTCCACATTAGAAGCAGTGGGATGTTGTTATTTCTGGGACACAGAGCTGGAACGCAGGTGATGGCTGTTCAGAACAGCTCCTGAGTCTCACTTCATACTTCTGTCTCGGTGAAATGGTTTGGCCACGAGGAGGTCCTATTACAGAGCTGTTGTAGATTTGTGATAGATTCTGAAGAGACTGCGGGACATTCTGGTCATTGGAAGGGAACAGCTTGCAGGAGTGGCCACACCGGAGCCCAGGCGGCGGCACTCCCGAGCCTAGGACCCTGAGCGCCGGTAAGGAGCGTGGCAAGGACAGGGTTAATGCCCCGTCCCGGGCTGCCCGCTGCCTCCACCGCAATCCTGTAATTAGGCTAATGAAGCAGGTTCACCGAGTAGGATGGAAATGTAATTGGCTGCACCACCTGAGCTCTGCAAGGTAGAGCCGGGAAGGCAGCGGCTTCTGGAGGGGAGGAGGAGGCGGAGGGAGACAGGCGCTAATTGTGGGGGCTTACCTGACACTATTCTCTTTCCAGGCTTCAGAGACGCCTTGGAGCAAAGTGCAGTCAAGGATCGCAACCGTGGGCAGAACGTCAGCACAGAAAAGGAGAGAAAAGCCAGTGGGAGCTTGCCATTCCCTGAATTTTTTCAAAGGTGGGTTTCTCCGTTCATTGGGTACATAGTGGATTTCTGTTCAATGAATAAATGTTTGGGGGTTCTTTCAGGGCAAGACGCTCTCTGACAAGCTCTGGGGATGGAGGAGTGGGCCTTCCTGGAGCCGCAGGCTGGTGGAAATGAGTCTTGAACAGTTGAACTGGTTCCTCACCAGTTTGCAATAATACCTGACATTTACTGAGCGCTTACCAGGTGGTGCCAGGCACTGAACTAAAGTTTTTCCTACATTGATTCATTCAATCCACCCCTCCCAATGAGACCTATGCTACCATATTTCACTAGGTTTAGGATGCTTTTTGTCTTTTAACTAAGGTTGCCAAAACTAGTGAGTAAGATACAGATCTCCAATTAAATTTGAAGTTGAGGCTTGGCACCTGTGGCTCAAGTGGCTAAGGCACCAGCCACATACATCTAAGGTGGAAGGTTCGAATCCTGCCTGCCCCCCCCCCAAACAACAATGAGGGCTGCAACCAAAAAATAGCGGGTGCCTGTGGTCCCAGCT